CTTCAAAGTAAGGCCTTATATTAGAAGTGCTCGAAGAAGTGCTTCCATCTAAATCATTTTCAATGGCGTTTGTCCTTGGGCCAAAGCATGTCAATGTACCGAATTTTATCAAAATGTCCACAAAATTTGTAGGGTGAAGATTACGAAACAAAACGGACAAACGGACAGGCAAGCTGAAATCGATTCAAAAAGTAATTCTGAATTGATAGCTTCATTAAAAGGTGGATCCACGCCAAGTCCTCCTAGGTATCATATACATACTCACAAACCGTAGGTGATGTAGGGTCCAATAATGGCAGACATATTTGAGAAACCTAACACAAAATCCCCTAAATAAGTACCGCCGCTTATAGTTTACATGCTTTAAGCCCGCTGCTTGTAATTGGTAAACACGTACGTAGTAGGTCGAAAGGAATACAATCAGAGTGCAGAAGGAGCTTAAAAAGTTTTGGGCAAATCCTGTCAATTTCAGAGAAATAATTTCAAAGGGTAAACACTTAACGCACGAGTTTACAGAATTAAAAATTCTGCCACACTTGAGATTTGAACACACGACCCTTGAGTTGTTAGCCAGGTTCTTTCGCCGACTCGGCCAATCGTCGACAGAACGATGCCATCCGTCTGAGTGGCCGAAGGCAAAGAATCTCAGCTAGCAACTCAATGGACGTGGTTTCGAATCTCAAGTGCGGTGTTGTTTCTAACAAAGCCCATTGCCTTGGATGCTAGTGCTTTAAGACTTAAGTCTTAAAATTTATTTCTCTGGCTAAATCAATACCGTCATCTATAGGTTTCATAATTAAAATCATTCCTCTCAGTCCACGGACTTGTCCATTATTATGGAAACCTAAATTTAGCTCCAAAGCGAACATAATTGTCCTTAGCCTAGTATTTGTAATACGTGACAATTTAAAAGTTTTCAATGCAAATATTTCAACTTTCCGCCCATACGTAATAGAACACACGATATATGTGTCACTGTTGTTTGCTTTTTATCTAGAGAAGGATATTTTGCGACATATTTTTGCACATCGCTGTGGACTTGTCTACGCATATGAGCGCACAAACAGCAGCGATTTCCAATCTATAAGATACGCTTCTCCGTATTACAAAAGAAGGAAACGCATTTTTTTTTTTTTTTTTTTTTTTTAATATTTTATTATAAAAAATTCCAAAAAAAGGGCGGATTCATAAATCAAGATATTGGCTTTATCGAAAAAGCCTAATAAAAAAAAAAAAAAAAAAAGATTGGGAACGACTGTTTTTGAGTGAGTGTCTTATTGCTTCTCTTCAATTATTCTAGGAATAAATCAAAGCAATCTGGTCTTTTATTGCCAACATCGACATCGACATCATCAGCAAGCAGTAAACAGCACTTGTCGATGTTATGCAGCTATTAGTACTTTTTATGTATGTTTTCAAGATCACGAGAGTGTACAGCTTTCAAAATGCTTTGAAGTTATGCTCTTGTAATACAGTTTTTATTATTTCACTATTACATGCGCATGCATGTTATTTTCCATGAAGCGCTAAACATTCATTCTCCTCATTATCAGTTTGTTGCATTCAAGAAACAATGTTATCGTTACAATGCACTCCGTATATGCAAAAATTGTACGCAAGCAAATAAATATGTTGGCAGTTGTTGTAAATTAATTCAGTTAAATGCAAAATGTTTATTTAAACGCGAACACTCGCACACTACTGCCCGCAACTTAATCTCACACATATAAGTAAAAAAAAAAAAAACACCTCCTCTGGGCTTTTTTTCACTTTTTTACAATTTTGACAATTCACTTGTTAGGGGATGTCCCTGGCATGTGGAACACGCTGACGGCCGAAAGGAAGTGAAGAAAGAGAGACAGAGAGAGAGAGAGAGAGAAAGAAAGTGATGGTGAGTAATCGCAGTATAGTGGAAGAAACAGATTTTTGTTGTTGTATTTTATTTTACCTTAATCCTTCTATTAATGCCCTTTAACTAAAGTTAAGTGATTAACGGTCGGTTAGCTGAAGAGTTGAAAAAAATTCAAACTGTACATAATCGAAAATTATTTTTATGCTTATCATAGAAGGGTCCAAAAGGAAAGATCAGCATAAAATTCTAAATCGATTTAAGCGTGTCCTTCTATCCTTCTATCCTTCTCTTGGCCGCAGAAATCGAATTGAAACTCGACATAAAAATTTGGAGTTCTTGCCCGCCTTTTGATGTTAAGGTTAACCCAAATCAGGCAAACGTCACGATCACAGTATAACATAACCTGAGACAACATCTGTTTGCAAAACAACAAAATTAAACAAATTGGGCTTATAAACCATCACAGATATAACGGTAACAATTGCATCTATATTCTATGGATAACCCTATGGCACCTGTATAAATATGAAAAAAAACGGCCGCGCCTCTTGAATATTATAGAAATTATCAAAGCCTTTGCAGCTCCTATTGTCTATATAGTATTGATCAATATTAAGGTATAAAAGACTCTGTCGCGGCCGAATGTAATTTTTATTCTTATATTTAGACAAAGAAAAATTGAAAGAAATAAATTTTACTATGGATTCACTAGCGACCACAATTCTTTTATGTTGCTAAGCGTTAACTTTCGTCGTCGACATCGCTTCACAATGGAGCATATTGAGACAATTAGCAGCGGAGTGATATTATTAGTTCCGATCTACTTATGCAAAGCAATTGATTCACTGAATTGCTTTAACTTTATCTGATAAGTCAAATACACTGCGACAACTCCTGCAATGTCTGTCAATTGGGCGGGTAAATTTTATGAATCCTCACAATTGCGAGAGTGAAGGGAGGAAAGTGAAAGTTGGCGCAAACATTCCCTAATCGATTAAGAATACAAAGTTAAAAAATGGGCGTGATCTGTTAACAGACACACCCATAGTGCAAAAGAAGCTAAAACAACTCCGGAAAACACCATGTTTTCCTGTAACTAAACGAACGTTATTGTGATAGTATGTTTTCCGGGGACTTTCAAGCTATCCGGACGTTTAGGCGGTACGTGCTTAATCGTTCAACTTTCTTCATCATTGCAAATTAAGGGAAATTTCTTAAGGATCCATTCGTGTGTTGCAATAGTACGATCAGGGCAAATTCTTGCAAATATTTTGATTTTGATTTTTTTTGGTGTTGATTAGATATAGCGTTGAAAGGAGATTACGATTAGCATGAGAATTATGCGAATTATGGTACTTTTGTCGAATTTTCGCGCCAATTTTCTCTTTAACGTAATATTGGAAAACCTATATTTTTCATGATCAATCTTTGCTATTGTGCCGTTCGCAAGTAATGGTGCTGGAGACGCTGATTGAACTGCTAGGTCCGCTCGCTCTTTCCCCAAGATATCAACACCTCTTGGTATCAGTAAAATCTTAATTTTGTTCCCGTAAGCGGTAATCGTATTCCCTGCTTTGTTAATGATGTTCCAACTAGAATTTAAGGAGCCTCGGATGGCTTTTATAACCGACAAACTATTTATAATGATAATCGTTTTGAGTTTGCTTTTGCAAAGTAATGTTTTTGGCAATTTCGCACTTTCGTGTAGGATATGATTAATCCGGACTCGCCGTATGGCATCAGCTACTTTACTTAACCTTTTCGCCTTTCTTGTCCTATGAAATCGATAATAAGAGATAGAATAAATTATACTACTTGTACCTTCTTCTTCATCCAGACACACAACGTAGACTTCGCATGGCATCCGTTAATTAAAGGCAACATTTATTTAAATACAAACTTACATAGATGAAAATCTCGAGTGGTGACCACAAAAATAGAGCTCTCTTTTTTCATCCAGAGTTAGTTTGGCAAGCAATTTACTGTTTGCTGGTTTTGTAGTTTTGTAGTTGTAATTCAAAATAAAGACAGCACAGAATATTAGTTTTTAAGTATCTTAATGGTAACACGAAAAACAATTTAAATTTATTATCGTATCGAAAAACTCAATGAAATAGATTCGATATGCAAGGGGTAAGATATTAGCTTTTAAAAGATATTTCTTATATCCATAAATCTAAAAGATATCAAAATGTAAGAGTCTACAACTGACATTACAAGCAGCAGGTTCCTATGGGAAGATCGTTATCATAAAAACGCGGCCGGGCTATGGGTAACATACTGCGCTAAATACAGTTATTTCTATACTACTTGCCAAAATAAGCTGCTATATGAGAAGTCATCGAAAAGTGATCCAGGTCATCAAAATATGTCAAGAAATGCGACCTGTAGATTGAATACAAGTAAATAAGACAGACGGACAAAACAGCTTAACTTGACGCAGGAGATGGTTGTAAAGGTGGTTTCAAGTCCAAATCCTAGGTGTTGGGTAAATTCGTACAATCGTATACTACAGGCGGTGTAAAGTATCGTAACGAAGAAATGCAGTAAGAACGAAAACAAATAGTGTATGCCTGCAAACGTACTTTCTGCAGGTTTTATACTCAATAAGGTTAACTATAAATATTGTAATGCTGACAATATGCCAATATCAAATTTGCTTCAGTGACTACAGACTCTCTTTAGTGGGACCCAACCCGCGGCGAAAGTAATTGTGACTGCACCGAATATTAGGGTACGTAATTCATATGGATTAATCTGAACTTTGACTCCTCAGGCTTCTCATTTTAAAAAAATATGGCAAAAGTGTAATGGACCATGAATTCAAATGGAAAGCATTAAAATATATTTACTCTTCGTAACTGTTTCATTTTTGTTTTTATCTGTTACATTTAAGGAAAAGGTATTTGCCAGTATTTGAAAGCAAACTAACAATCCTAGAGACAATGATAAACCGTTTCAAAGGAAATTAGTAAATTTTTTTTAAGCTGCCACTCAAATAATTTCTTTCGAATTTTTGTAATTTTTCCAGCTTTCGAATTTTCCTTTTCAAGAAAAACGTGAAAATTTCAATGGATTAAAAAATTTATTCTCAAATTCCGCAGCAACACAATATGTGCATATACTTTGACATTTACATCAAACGCTCTTAGATAATTCATTTCTTGGAACCCCAGTTTGCTAGATTGAATTTCAAATGTTTTTTATGTGAGCGAACCGAATTCACGGGTTTGAAGACACCATTACCGTTATCAAAGATCTTATCAACTCGTACGTTCACTCTATTCTTTTGTTTTTCGTAAAACGAAGCCAGTCGTTCTTCCGAATCTATCACTTTGCGCCTTGGAACATGTTTCAAGGAAGTTTCCCAATCTCCAGTCTTTTTAAGATCCAACAAAATGTTTACCATTTGATTTAATGTTAAAGATTTTCCCGAACCAGAACCCCATTGTAAGTAACGATCGAGCGGCAGACGTGCTACCCGTAACCCAAGCCGTTTTGCCTTGGCCAAAGATAATGGTTCAGCGTGTCTCTACACATTTAAAAACATTGAAATATTGAAAAATATTAAAATAAATTTGCAGAAATACTATACCTTATCCACCATGGCTCCAATAACGTACACATCGTCTGAATTATAAGTTTCGAGATCGGTTTGGCAATGCTGAAAATGAAAGTACATATAAGTAAACATACAAAGTTAAAAAACTACTTCTAACCGTGGCAGAATCTTTTTCACCCACTACGAACTATCCTTAAAAAAGAAAGTGAGAAAATTATATTCGATTATGGCCGAATAGTTTACATCCACCCGCTTTATTATCAGAATTAGAATACATAAATTTTTATTGTGTGGTCGATGATAATGAGCAAAAAGCTCTTCTTTTTTTTCTCTTGAAAACAAAGAAGATGTTCTCAGTTCATATTCTGCTATGCGCCTGTCCTTCGAAAGATATGATCGATGGTCAATATCAGCCTACGTATAGCAATTTCCAATAATTTTGACGAATTTGAAATCGACATTTTTATTTCCGCCACCAGATCTATGTTTACCATACGCAAATCAATAGATGAGCTGACGGACAGACATGTCCATGTGGAGATTGCACAGTAATATATATATTTTATAGGATCTCTGAGGCGTCATTCTGAGCATTACAAAGTTTTGAATACAAGAATAAAATTTCAATACTCTGCAATGCTTGGTGGGCGTTGTCATTCTTCCCCTTTCTGTCTAAGATATTAGAAAATAAGTTATAGAATATACATGGAAACGCATTCAACATATCTATTATAGATTATGTGTAATAAGCAAAAAAATTCAAACTTTTTATTTTTCAAAGTATAAGCTTTTTTCATTTAGGTTCCACTGTAGACATTTGCTTTGGCCGCGTGAGCCCGTCTTCAATATGAATCTGCATGCAAGAAGTTACAATGTTTTTGCCAAATTTCAAGTCGACATTTCCGACCGAAAGAACTTTCACAGCAGACGTTACACAAGCGGATAAAGAAAACTTAGAATTTGAACAGGAATACTTAATGCGGCCTCTTTTTTCCGGGTGTTTTTGACAAGATAAGTATGGCTTTATGTTTTGATGTAATGTAAAAATTAACATAAATCAATTACCACTTACTGGTGTAAGATAAACTATATTGTTTTTGGAGAATATTTCGGTAAAACATTCGCTATGGATATTCATGGGAAATTCTGGATTTAACATAGTGGGTATATAACTTTGAAGTCTCTTCATACAGGTACTTTTCAAGTCGACATTACAATAATGCAAGTCGAAAGGGTCGTCATGAGCCCGATTTTCAGCAAAGCATAACATTAATTGTTTGGCCGCATTTTCAGCCTCTCTCTTGTCCATCTGATTATCGTACGAACAGTCGAGTACAATTTTAGGAGAAAACAACATTGCCCTTATTAATCTGCAAAAGAATAATCCCATCATGAATAGATACATTAAAATTTATAAGTACCTATGATTCATCCAATGATTAATGGTCGCATCGTATATTCGCAGAAACATGGAGACATTTCCTAAGCCATAAACAATGTGCGGATTTTCAGCTCTTTCTTTACGTATTGCGTCAATACGATCTTGTGCACTAGCTGCTTTCTCTTGCTTTTTCATTTTTCTTGACTCCGCTATTGCCGCATTTTTCCACAAATATGAATAAAATTTCATCCTAGCCGATCTGGAGGGCATTGCTATGATTTGATCCCAATGATGATCTTTCAAATAATCTAATGTTGGAACACGCTTGCCTTCTTGACGCGCAACCTCTGCTTCTAATTGTAATACTTTCAGACGACGTTCCTTTTCCTCAGGACTGATCGCTAGTGTCGCCGGTTTCTCATCAGTGTTAGTCGCACTTAGAAAGCTTTGCAAGTTTACCGCAAATGGATTTGTAGTGTTTTCGACATGGTTTTGGTCTGCACATGCTGCCTCTGTAATTACTTGAGAACTTTTTGATTGTAGTGAGCGTTTAAACTCTACTCTTTTTCTTGGCAGTAATACTATGCAGTTTTTAATTATAGTTAGCTTGTTAAACATAGTTTATCCAATTTTTAAAAGTATATTCTACCGGTTATGTACAAGCACGTTCACTCTTCTTCTTTTTCTGCAAGTCGTCAAATCAATAACAGATGATTGAATGTGTTGAGCAAACGGTTTATTATTGTCATTAAAATCATAAAATGTTAAAAACAGAGTTAGCATTGTTAAGCATTCAATTCGCCTCGGATTATACAGAGAAAGACACAATGAAACTTCGAATATATTGCCACGCCTGTGGGAGAAGTTATTACATAAATTTATTGCAATTATTTTGTAGTATATACATTTATATATATATATATATATATATATATATATATATATATATATGTATATATAATTTATAAAGCTACAAAATTCATATAATAAGTGAAGCAATTTCTACTCCTCGACGCGATTTTTCCGTGTTTCACAATCAGACTTTATAGTCGTACTGACACATCAATCCTAGTTATAACGACGATTATTATTGTAAAATAACATTATCATTAATAAAATTAAACTGATATAAACAAAGGTTCATCGTACCAACTTCATACCGCCACCTTTAATTCCTATGCTTGCCAATCCAGTGCTCCCTTATTTCGTTTACTACTTATGGCTGAACATACGGCCTCTCGGCGTTACTCCTTTTTTTCAGGCCACTAAACAAAAATTGAACAAATGACAAACCATGTAAATCAACACAACAACAAAGCCGCGATTGTGTTTGCACCTTATCCGTTGAGGGTAAATAAACGCAAAGCAAACGAAACATCTGTTTTCCTTCAAAAAACAATTGAGTGCTTCTTCTTACGAAGTGATAAACATTGGAGGCATATTTTGGAAAATAGAATCGATAATATATGTAAATATTTTAAAAACTAGAAAAACAATGTTAAAACCAAAAGCTTTAACTCAAGTGCTAAGTCAAGCGAATACTGGGGGTGTTCAGAACACATTGTATGTAGGCATAAATGAAAAAAATGTTTCCCAAAGAAAAAATGTATATCTCCAAATACTAGATTACTCAGCCAAGAAGGCGCTTTACTGGCATATTCTGGATATGGTGATAAGGATAAGGATGCTAGAGTAACGGCGGCCATTGCTAGTAATATCTGGGCTGCTTATGAAAAACACGGTCGTAATGCTTTTCGCGAAGACATTTTAACATTTGTACTCTTGGACTGTGAGTGCGGTCATGTAGCCATAACTCAGGTCAGATTCATTAATACTATAAATTATATAATTGAATAAAGTCTAATATTCATTCATACACATCTAGGTCGCAGGCATCTTATTATGTTTATATGCTAAAGAATGTGTAGGACTTGGCTTGTTAAAACAGAAGACGATGGCTTTGGCAACGTATTTAGAAGGCCCGTTAAAGCAAATAGCAGCCTCTTAAAAGCCATTGACTATCGGGACTTTGCTTTATTCCTTACCGTATTTAATAAATATTTACAATAACGTAATAAATAGTAAATGGAAAAAATGAAATCTTTGAGTGGATACACTTTTTTTCGTTTTTATTTATGAAATAGTAATTTGGCTGCATGAACTGTCCATTACTTATTCAACAGCATATAACTTAAGAGTACGATCCATACTTGTCGACGCAATATATCGGGCATGTTTTCCGAAACGAACACCAGTAGCCAAGGCTGTATGATCATTGAAAATCTTTAAATCCTGCCATTGTTTAGACAAATAAACTCTGAAATAAAGATAAAGAAAAAAAAATCAAATCTGTAACTATAGTTGCAATTAAGTGCATTAACATGGAAACTAAACAGATAAAAATTTTTATTCCAAATACGCTTTAGTTTGCTGTCTTTTTCAACGCAATGCGCAGATTTAAGAATAAAGTTTACAACAAAATTGAAGGTAAACTAGAGTTTAAAATATAAAACAATAAATATAACAATGTTATTTTTTATTAATTAGACTTTTACACCACTGCAGACTTAAAAGATCCTGATACGCCCAAACCAATCAATCTGACAATAAATGATTTTGATTCGGTAAAGCTTTACACGTCATTGTTTTATGTTCTGCTTTCATTTTCAAAGCACAATATAATTGAGTTCAGTTAGTTTATTTGAGATTCATTTTTCAAATATATGTTATCTTCCTTTCCGCATTCCATTTGGCAGATATCCATTATATTCTTTTTAAGCTAAAGTGCGGTATTCAGCAAATGGATTTTCAATGGACTTTACTGATTTTATTTATTAATAATTTTAAAAGCGTTTGTTTTTTTTTTTTTTGATTAAAGAAAGGAAAGCTAACTAATCCTCGTGCACCTTGCGTGGTAAGCACCATCGATCCAGATTATTCAAAAGCGACGAAATGGCAACGTAACGCAAGAAAATTTCGCATGAAAACGTAAGTACTGAAAATATACTGAATCAAGTATTTTAACACTCATAGGTCGCTATCTGGGTCCGTTAAATTGATCTGCTTTTGAGAAATTGATCTAAATTGATCTGCTTTTGAAAAAGGATTGAAATGACTCTTACATGAGACTCTTACGTAAGACCTTCTCATGACCTTATATCCCTTTCCCATAAAACTATCGCTTAAAATCCACGGAGGAAGCTGGAAATTTCTTCATCTTATGTTCCTACCATCGCTATAATGAGATTGATCAAATGTCTCATCTCTTATATTGTTTCTAACAATAAATGGCCGAGTGTTGTCAATGAATTACACGTACATATGAAAGAACATCGCAGTTTCTACTCAAGATTTTGAATTCTGATCGTCAAACGCACATTAACACCAGAAATCAAGTCTTTCTTACTAAGCCCGCCCGCATTCGAGGAGCAGCTTATTTATAGGAGAAAATGTTGTTTTGCTAAATTTAAACCAAAAAAGTAATTTCATACCTCACGCGTAAGCATTTATCTCCATCGAGATTATCCTTTGCAAAGGCTGTTGCGGAAAGTTGTGGAACTTGTCAACAGTCCTTATTAAATTCTTAGCCTGAGGTAGTTTAAAGTGACGGTTAAGACATTCCATAATTCACAAACACAAAGTTTGTCTCCGTGTCTCGATCTGATACTGTACAAGACTATTATTATCGACATCCATTTGTTGCCTTTGTTCATAGTTATGCATCAAGAGGTTAGTCTTGCTGACACGGCCATTAATTATAATAGTAATTATAATTATTAATTAATAAATTCTAAACTAAAATCTGTGCACCTGCAGAGATTACTAGACAGGTGCAACCTAATGCTAAAAGATGAGATGATATTATATAAAAAAATATATGTCGATCCCGTTCGATTTATAATTGGTTAATATATTTTCATGTTTAAGTGATATTTTGAGGTTAAGGGAGATAGTACGCAATAAATTCGTAATCTACGCTACACAAGAAAGGTATATAGAAAAGCAACGAGAAAGCGTCCATCAAGAAGAAATTTACAAACGTATCACAACTGCTAACGAGGTAAACATATAGGTAACATAAATGCATTTCTGTTTGGTCATACATGCTTTGCTTTGCTTCCATGTAGCTTATGGAGGAGACACTCAATAAAATAGAGAAAAACGCTTTTACAGAAATGAAAGAAACCCAGCAAGAGTTGGAACAATTGAAGAAGTTTAAATTCGACGACGAATTGAATGAAACGAAAGCCCAACACCAACGAGTTATGCTGGAGGTGCAAGAAGAGTATGGACGTTTCCTATTTCTACTTAAACTGATTGTAAGTATTCGTCTTCGCCGATTAGCAATCAAGATGTCGCATTTGAAACGGTATTCATTTTAGAGTTATTTCGATAATATAATCGATCCGGAGGATATTAATCAGCAAGAGCTGCCTGCCTTGCAGTCTTTCAATAATATTCCTGGAGTCGAAAATAGTAATAGCGTAGGGGAAAAGGATATTGCTGTTGTTACCAACTACACGCAGACAATTGTGCGACCATATCTAGCTAAACGCAATTATTTGACCGCTGAAAGGTGGTTTAAGGTAAATATATATGTATGTCGTTCCGAAAACTAGTAAAACAACATTACATAATTAAAGGGATACGAGCATATAAGACAAAAAATATTCAACTATTATTGTAACTTAACTCGCGTAGCTATGGTGAATCATGTGGTTCTCATCATGCATGAAAAATCGGTAAATGAAAGCCCAAATGCTCTAGTTTCTTGCTTAGTCTGTAACATTTACAGGAAAAAGCCTTTGCTCGGCTTATCGTAAAACCTGTGATGTTGAAGCAGCCCGAAATTTTACAGCAACGAGCAGTTTATTTGCGTGAACGAGCTTTGAATATACTCGACATGTTTGAGGAGAAACAAAAAAAAGAGTATGTTTTCGAGATTTGGAAAATTGACGAAAGATAAGAACTTAAAATATCTTCCAGTCATCTTTGGTTGAAAATAAAAGCAACGATACCAATCGTATTGAGACGTGTCGAGAAAGTGATTGATACGATTGACAGTAAGGACACCACTGAGATGCCAGTGAAGCATGTATCGAGACAAAAGGCATCTTCGGCGGCCCAAGTGAAAATTGAAACAACTTTTTCAAGTAGAATTCGACGGGACCATCATGAAAACACATTAACCATGGTGGAAAAACTTCAATGGCGTGTTATGGTAATCGCTATGTTATTTTGTTCATGTTGTAGATTAATTTGATTTTTGTAAATAATGCACAGAGTGTACTGCAAGATTTGGAAAAAATCCCACCAAGAGAATGTAGGCGTATTGAAAGAAACGTGCGGAAGCGTATGCAAATGCAAATGGATTCTTCGCGAAAAGCACTTATCCGACAAAATCGCTTGCATCATTGGGTGGAGCATTTCAAAAAGCATGAACTTCTCCGTCATCAGGAATAAAAGTTTACATTAACACACAATATACAAAGCTTACCTTACATCAGTACCAGCAATGGCCAGATAAGTGCCGCTTTGATCAAAACATAAATCTTTCACTTCGTAGCCGTCGTCTAATTGTATAGTTTTAAAGTTTTTCAGTTTGCGTAGATCCCATAATTTAACGCATGCATCATCGGCAGCTGTTGCCAGATAATAGCCATTCTCAGAGAATGAAATTGCCGAAATTGGACCAGTATGGCCCGGAAAATTTGCAACATTGCTCTGCTCTTTAAGATCCCAGATCTTGACTTGAGAATCGTCAGTGCCCGTGCCAAAAATCAAGCCGTCCGGATGAAACTGAGCAGTTGTCAACCCGACCTCGGCAGTGTCGATAACCTATTTTTTATATTTTTATACTTCTCGAAGCGTCTAAAAATATGAATGCAACAAACCTTTGTTAATAAACGACCAGTGCGAATATCAGAGAAAGCCCAATGCTTATCTGATGAAGTAGATAGTACGTAATCGCCGGTAGGATGCAAAGAAAGACCGGTAACAGTACCATCATGGCAACGCAACAAGAGTTGTGTCTGTGAAGTCGGCACATTCCAAACGCGTATGGTGGTATCAGGAGAGGCAGTAATAACTGTATCTTCATCAGGATGATAAATAACGTTTGTAATTTTTTTGGTATGCCCCTTAAGGATAGCAACCACTTGTTCTGTATCCTTATTGAAGACTGTTGCATTTTTATCGTTTCCTCCAGTAAGAATTTTACTGTGATCTGCGCTATTAATGTCCAAGGCCAAAATACCCGGAATAGACGCCGAATGCAAGCCAGGATGAGAAGCGACCGTGAGAAAAGTTTTTATCTGATCTTGCGCTACTAGCTCCTCGGGCACTGTACGGCCTCGTTTTTTGCGCTCTTGTGTAAGCACGGTAGCCTTATCCTGTAATTTTTGTATAACATCGGTGCTCATGCCGGTTTGTTCGACGGGTTGGGTGGCGATGCCTCCAGCTTCAGCAGCAATAGCTGGTTGGGGTATAGTCGTGGAAGCAATTGATGCTCCTATGCCTGCTTGCGGTTTAAGTGTAGCCAAAGCTTCGCGAGCTGCTGCCACCTCCTTATTGAGACGCGCAATTACACGGCAAGCCGCATCGTGCTGATATAGTGCATGTGATAATTCTTGACGTGTGGTCTGCAATTGTTGCCTCTGCGTAAATGAATGCAACATGAGAGCGTCCCACTCGTCTTGCATTGTTTTGAGTGTTGCCGGAATACTAGTAGCGCTAGGTGGCTTCGGTTTTACAATTGGTGGTGTCTTCACCTCAATTAAATCTTCAATTTTCATCTCTTTGCCATTAATTGGATCGCAGCCATTCTCGGTTATGTATTTTTCAATAATACGCTTCTCAAAAATTGCTCCGGAAAAAGGCGATACGACCGCAATATCAGGCACCTCATTTGTAACTAAAGAAACAACAACAAGAAAAGTTGTGCATTTATGATATTCTCAAGCCTGGTGCTTTGGTTACACACGATGCACAGTATTTATTATATTAATATTAAACGAATTTAACTTACTTGCACAAATTAACGACATATTTTTTTAATATCTCCTTTCTTCTTGAAATATTACTTATTTTACTTTAGGGTTTCTTTTAAAAAATTAGCGCAAAACAATTGAAATTTAGATTCTTGTTGTAGAAAATTACTAAAAAAATAAATTTTCCGATGTTGCCACATTTGATTTCAAAGAAGACTTGAAATTAATTTTTAAATCCTTTGGAATAATCACATTCAACATTGAGGGCTGACACGACGAGGCGGCTTTTTTGATTTCGAGTTAAAAACTCTTAAAGGACAAACACAATGGATAGCAGCGTTACCATATTGTTTTTCGGAAAAATGTAAAGAAAAAGATATAGTTTTAGAAATATATATAAAGAATTCAAAATATAAAAAATCATTTGCAGTCTATCGTATATAAGTCTATAATAAAATAATTTCAACCTTAAAATAAATGGTCTTTATTGTTTGTATTTTATTTCTTACAAAATAATGCATGGTGTAAACAAAAATGTACATGTGAACCAAAATTTAAATTTAAAATAAATATAAATTAAATTGTGTCAGATCTCTTAGATTCCCAACCGGAAAATAGGAATAACGTCTCATTGCGTCAGCCGGTTACATGGTCATATATTAATCAAGCAAAGAGAACATGTGTGTAAAATGATTAAACAACAATATATTAAACAACATTTGATTATAACAAGAACGATGCTGACCTGGTCGTCACGCGAGAACCATAACAAACACCAATTATTTAAATTTCATTCGAGTCGGATATCATCCCAAGAAAGCTGTAGATAGAAGAACCAGGGTCTGCGTGAGCTATTAAATACTAGGCTCCACAGACGCAGTTAAACAGAGCAAAAGAAAATTTTAACATTCTGATTTGACAAAATATTTAAAATTGGAAATAAATCGCTTTTATTTCCAATTATTATTGTTATGCAATTCTTATAAGATAATATAGAATCTAAATTAAAACTGTAACACGTATAACATAAAAAAGATTTGAATTACTATAAAATAAATATAAATTAGATAAATGATTCCAACATTTAAAACAAAATTGTCTTTATTCATTCCTAAGTGCTTTTTTATTATTGTTCCATGCAAAGTAACATAACATAATTTGCCAATTCCCACAACGAACCGTAAAAAGTCATTACAGTAGAAACCCCATCTCCGAAATAGGAAAAACGCATCATTGCTTTAACCTTTAGGAAGGCTGATACAATTAGTTTTCATTCCTACTTTCAGATTGGGATTCAAGACTGCCAGCTTTTTACGAGACAATATGGGAATTGACAACTGATATGTTTTTGCATGTTTGCATACAAATGAAGCGAAAGAAAAAAAAGGACAAGAATAAATGCCGGTGGTCGCTTTTAAATTTCACCGTTATTTGACTATTTCATGTTTATGTTACACTCATGTACATTTTTTTATATTGTGTGGTTTGCAATTTTGGTTTATATCATGCATTATTTTGTGAGAAATGAAAAACAAAATAACATGTATAATACAAAACTGGGTAAATTCGCTACAAAGAACTTTTAAATTTGAAACTATATTTTTTATTTCCTCCTGTCTTTTTCTTTTCTTAATTTTCTGTTTATATAAAAATCCATACATTTGCATAGTCTAGTAGAGTGTTACATTTCAAGCCCGATATCTGAAAAGCTATCGCAGTTCCTGTGTATTTGACTTGAATTTTGTTTATTTATTTATTTATTTATTTATCCTTATTTATTTATCTCCATTCAGTCCATTAATTATTTCCAATTACTCACTACTAAATATCTTATATCATAAACAACGCACCGCCAAGACAATAAGTAATAATTCACATACATGCAAACGTCTACCTTTCAAACACCGGGCTGGCTTCCAATCATTTTTAGCAAATTTAAATTTCTCCTTTTGTTTATGCCAGTTCGCATTGGCAGCATTTTGGTGGCCGCTCAAAGAAATTTATGTATATAAGCGCTGTTCATCACGAGGAGCAATCGTTTTTGGTGGTGCTGGCGTTTCTAATTCGCTGAGAGCGGCATCATAGTACAAATTGGCACGATAAGGTCGTAATTCCCAAGGAACTTGAACTTCCATATCAGTAAGCTGAACGCCCAAATCTTCCAAGGTTGGCACTTTTTCTAGAACTCTATCGGTGACACATTCAAGTTCTAGCCGTTCCATATGTAAATTACCTATGGGTTGATTAGTGCTAATCCACTCTGTTAAATTGGTTTTAAAAATGAATGTAGGGTCAAAACGCATATCGTAACGCAAGTAACCCCACCGCTTCTCGTCCTTACGCATAACTCGGTTGAACCAATCGACCAACTCTGATAATTTATAGCGTTTAGGCCCTACAGCCTGGTAGATTTTTCCAGCTGAATCAGGGTCTTTAACAGAGTTGACTATCCCTTGAGCTACATCTGAGACGTAAACCGGTTGTTTCACAGTTCGTTCACCGCTAAACCACAATGGCGTTGCTCGAAGCTGACGACGCCATACATGAGCGTAATAGCGCAGAAATCTATCTTCAGAACCAAATATGTCTGCCGGACGTATAATGGTAGCTTTTGGGAATTCTTCAAAGACTGCCTGTTCACCTAAGCACTTGCTGCGTAAAAATTTGCTACCTCCTGATATAATGTGGGCTTTGGGTTCCGGATGAACATTTAAGGCGGAAACATGTACTAAGCGTTCAACGCCCATTTCGCGGCAAATTCGTGCTATCCGTCTTGCTCCATCCACATGCACATCTTTGAATTTGAAATTTTTCGTTTCGTATTCGCGACCTACCAGATTGATAACCACATCGGAATACTTGCAAGCCGTGCGTATGGCTTTTTCGTCGCGCAAATCATAAAAATGAAACAATACTTGGCCTAAATCACCACATACCTTCAAACGCATTACATCAGACTCGTCACCACGATAGGGTAGGACCATTTGAGTACCCGACTTTCCTAATTTGTTGCATACGTAACGACCCAAAAATCCGCTACATCCAAAAACAGTTGCTACAATGCCATTAAAACTACTTCGACCGCCAGTGCCACGTTTCATAGCATCTAAATTCTTGGCTTTGAGGGGGCGTGGCGCTTCAAAGGAATAATTATTTGTTCGCGGATAGCTCATTACCGCTGTGGCAGATTGCTTTGCAAAACACACATTACGAGTTGCAACTAATGCAGCCATAGTGAGTGAAGAAGCTTTAATCGACTGTTGACAAAGTTGACCACTTCGCTGAAAATCCCTTTTGCCAAATTCTAGGTTTTGTTCTTTTAAACCAAATCAAATAATCCAAACAACATCAAAGCTGAGCCGATATTACACCATTTAAACTCTTCCATTTTATTTAATAAAATTTTGCGGATGTTTTCTTATATGAATAGAAAGCAAAAAAAAAAAAAAAATTCAATCATATGGTTAGCAAAAGAAGAAAAGTCATCGAAAGTGCTTATAAACAAGAAATTAATGAACTCCCCGCTTTGGGGAAAAAATATTGAGAGAAATGCCTCACTAGATGGTGTTTCATATCAGATGTGATTTGTTACTCTAATGCGTGCTATTTCCTGGAAGTGTGTTTCGTATTTCGTCAATCGTGTTAGGAGTTAAATTAATACAAAAATGAGTGAAATTTCCGAAAAAATTCGCTATATTTTGCAGTTTTACTACGAAAAAGGCAAAAACGCCGCGCAAGCTCGGAAAAAAATTTGTGATGTTTACGGTCGAGATTCTTTATCGAATGCAACAGCATGTAGATGGTTTGGCCGCTTCCGTTCTGGAAATTTGGATGTCAAAGATGCACCTCGGTCTGGTCGACCAATCACTGGAAAAGTCGACGAAATCTTACAAAAAATCGAAGAAGACCGACACATAAATAGCCATGACGTTGCTAGGGAATTAAATATCGATCATAAAACAGTTTTAAACCATTTACACAAGGCTGGATACACAAAAAAACTCGATGTTTGGCTGCCGCATGAATTGTCAATGAAAAATTTAATTGATCGTATTTCTATCAGCGAATCGCTACTCAAACGCAATGAAATCGATCCATTTTTAGAGCGATTAATAACGGGCGATCAAAAGTGGATCACATATGACAATAAGAAACGAAAGAGATCATGGTCTAAGATGAATGAAACTGCGCAAACGGCAGCAGAAGCACAATTAGTACCACGTAAGGTTTTGCTTTTTGTTTGGTGGGATTGGAAAGGAATCGTATATCACGAACTGCTTCAACCAGGCCAGACGATTGATTCGACTCTCTTCTGCCAACATTTAACGCGCTTGAAACGCGAAATTGAGATAAACCGTCCAGAGTTGATCAATAGCAAAGGTGTCGTCTTTCATCACGACAGTGCCAAACCTTTCACTTCTCTGTTGAGTCGGCAAATGCTGAGAGAGTGTGGCTGGGAAATTTTAATGCATCCACCACATAGCCCGGATTTAGCCCCAACCGACTACCACTTGTTTCGCTGTTTGCAAAACTCCCTTCGTGGTGCAAAGCTGACTTCAGTAAAGGATTGCGAAAATTATTTAACCAAATTTTTTGCCGCTAAACCACAAAAATTCTACGCCGATGGAATTATGGAACTTCCCGAAAAATGGCGAAAAGTTATAGATAGTAACGGCCATTATGTACTTAAATAAAATTTATTAAAGAAAAAAAAAAAAAACAAAACCTCTCAATATTTTTTCGCGACATGCCAGTAGACTTTATTTGATACAAAGACAAATATTATCGTACGTAAAGAATGCGTTTATTGGGCTAAGGTAGCGTTCGTTGACAATGAGTGCTTGCGTTAATAACTATAGAAAGATATATGAAGCTTTGCGGAGTTTTTATATTTATTGAAGACCAAAAAAATGTCATTCTTAAGCACTAAAAACAGCAAATTCGTGGAAAATTGTTTTCACGCCCGTTTTGCGGGCATCCGAAAAAGAGTGGGTAAGCAAACAACCAGAGGTTCGAAAATAACAGTCATAAGCTGTATAGGAACAACTAAAGACTATTTAAATGATTACCTTGCTCTATCATTAACCACTGTAATAGTCGAACGGCCTTATCAAACAAATCCAGATGTCCAAGAATGAAGAAAATTTTCTCTTAAACGCATTAAAGATGTCTTCAAAGGACCTGAAAAACAGCGGCAGTACATTCCGAGCAGTATCAAGCTGAGCGGATAAAAAACAAAGCGCTCGTCCAGCGAAAGCGTGCGATTCCGTGGTATAAACATAAAAGGGTTTCTACGCGAGCGTTTTACATAATTTGAACTCAAAATTAAATTCGCAATATGAGAAGCCAAGTCTTATTTCGAAATATTAGTAAGGCGCTTGCGGAGAATTTCAGGCATGGTATCATTTTCTATATAGGTAACGTAGTAAAGCAATATTAGTACTTACTATTAATTTTTATTTAAATAGTTTTCAAACATTGTTTTGATATCTTTTACATTATTTAGATATTCTCTTAGTAACATAATTTTCTCCTCCTCCAGTTTTAACATTTTTTTTCCAAAGTCTTCATTTCTTGTTATTTCGTAGTGTATTTGTTCGTTACATTTTTTAAATTCGTTTAAAATTTGCTTTCTATAATCTTCTGTTTCTGTTACTTCGGAACAAATTGGTGACGCAGGGGAATTTTGACTTTGTGGCACAGAGGCGCTTGGACTTCGTGGCGCGAAATCACTTTCACTTCCGCTACCTTCAGAATACACAAACGTTTATATGGAATGGTTTTTATAATATATGAATAAATAAATGTTCACATAAATACTGACTGTTTGAACAACTTGGAAATATTTCTAATTCCGGCTCTTCTAACTTTATAGTATTCTCAAGCGGGTCTTCTAAATGTTAAATATATAATATTAATTAACCATTACTAATGCTAACTGCATTAGGACATATACCTGTTAAGCATTCTTCTGTTTGTATGCAAGGTATCGGTTGACCCCCCATTATTTGGTGTACTTTTGCATAGTATATCCATTCAGATGGTTGACCGCCAGAGGATTCAACATTTGCTGTTTCCTTTCTAAAAGCGGTTACTAATGCTAATAATAAATGTGCTTATAAAATTGCAAATAAATACACAACATACCTATACTTGCTCGTAAGGTTGTGGATTTTAGTTTTCACCTCCTCCGCGAAAACGTGGATGCCCAGCCGGCCTAATTCTTTGGCCATTTTTAAGTATGCGTGGCCGCTTCTCCGCGGACCACGTAATTCTTCAATATTTTTAGCCCACAGATCGAGAAGAGCCTCATCAGCGTATGCTTTCCATGTGTAACGTGCCTTATACGATCTTTTCGCTTTTTTGTTTTCCATTATTTGCACACCGCGTTTTCAGTGAAAACACCCTCGAAATTATCTCTGTTTTTTATGTCGTATAACGCTCGATTTGGCAGCATTGGAAATCGTATGCGTCGTATCGATGTATTTGATTTATGTAATTTGAGTATATTTTAGACATATATTTAAATTTTTCTTAAGGCTTCTCTGTTATAATACGCTGCATAGCCTCTCGATGAATTACTTAAGTCAACTAGGGCTATTTTCATAAATAACAAAAGAATTAGCAAAATCTCTTGGATGCATATTTTATTATTCAACATATGTTTATACGTAAACACAGAGTTGTTAACATTCATCTTGAAAATGCAATGCAAACATTGATGTTTTCAAATGAAAACATTTGATGAAAACCCACCCAACACAAAACTTTTTTTCATATAATGTAAAAACTCTTTTTTCGTATACAGACAAGACCTTAATATTAGAGAAACAAATCTGATCCGCTTATAAAAGGAATAGAATTTACCAAACCCTGCATAGCTTCCTTTCCATATTGACCTTAATATAGGTACTTCTCTCCAAGGGAGTTAATTTTCTATAGCATCCTTTTTTTTTACTCTTTCACATTGTAACTGCCTTCCGTCGGCAAACATTAATGTATTATATTAGGTCGAACCGAGAATGTATTTGTTCCCATTCCGAGAAACGAAGCTGACTTGTCTGTCTAAGAGTCATTAGAAAAATCGTCCGGATTCAACAATAACATGCCTTCAGGTGTCAACTCTAGTTTGGGAAAGTTGTATGTATATATATTTCCATTCCAATATTGCTTTTAATATTAATTTAACATTCTAATCTTAAATTTCATTGTTATTAATATTTTTAAAATTTATTTACATCAAAGGAATAAATTCTAAGACTAAACGAGTGGGATGGGCACTAGCAACTAAAACTAACAGTTTTGTTTTCTTATGAAGGGGAGACTAGAGAGTTGGTCATGCCACTTTAATAAAGCCAAACATTTTATTATTATTTACAATTACAAATTGGAAGAGTAGAATCCGTAAGAATTCATTGGGATGACCAAAGCAGATTCATGCAATGTTTGATCTTGATTTTCTCGACGTTGACTGAAAATATGTGGGGAACGAGATTAAGAGTAATATGCGATTTTTTTCTTTTTAGTATTAAATTTCTTTATCAATTTTTATTGCTCATTGGTGAAATAATAACAACAAATAAAAGTAAAATAACTTTGAAACGAATGATATGGTTCGTCACTTTGGAGATTTTTCTGACTGTAAGCGCAAGCACATGGCACGGTAGGGTTAGGAAGGGTTATTTATAGCGAGAGTTTCGCTCAGGGCTGCGCAACGGTCCGATCCAGGAAATTTATTCGTTGAATTAACGGAACCTTCGTATTTTGGTGGTAGATCAAATATGTATCTGTGGAATTCAGGAAGCGTACAAGTTGGCCTTATTTGCGACGTAACTTCGTGGTGAAGGAAAAAAACCAACACGTATTTAGTGGACAGCACTGTTTTCTTTTTACCGAGAAAATATGACCCGCGTTCGACGGTGTTGCGAAAATGAAGTGTTCGTTCAACTGCTACTGAACAGCTAAAAGGAAGATAGCTGCTTGCGCGCTGCTTTTACAGCTGTTGGCTGCCGCACCAATGCGCTTATAACTAGAGCTTTCACCACGATGTGTGTTTACTGAGGAGATTAACTTACTGATAGTTATATTCGTACTTATATAAAGCTGCAAAACGAAGTCATGCAGCGTTGCATTACAATTTTGCGTGAAAATAGCAGGCCTAGAGTTTTTAATATAAGAATTTAGAGTTAATGAGCTTAACTAGAGTTATATATAGGTTAGTTAATTTTTATTTACATTTACATAACAAATCTTTTAGCATTCGGAGTGGGTAAGGAAGTCTGCTTCCTTACAACCTTATCACGAAAGCAACAAGAGGTTAAAACCCTTAATGTGAACCGAATTCATAGAATTCTAATTTTCCGATTAGACATCATTAACCATGGAAAGGTTCGTACACAAGAATATGATGCACCTTTAAAACCCTATACAGAATATAAATGTGCACTTGTCATCGTCGAGCCATTAAGTCATAAGATAATTGCTGCAATAAAAGGTGATATTATCCAATCGGTTGAAAAAGGAAGAATTTAGAAAATCGTCGGCCAGATTCCATGGGATGGTGAGCATTGGAATTTATCGAATCTGCGAATAAAATAAAATAAAAAATTATGTAAAATAAACATATGCATGTATACGCATTATAAATAATCATCATAATCTACAGTTAATCACTTGAATTGGTGAGCGGTCGAAGAGGTGCAAAGGACCCGAGAGATAACGTGACCCACATCAGCAAATAGCTGAAGCCGGCCTTTCCAACGACAGAGGTCCACAAAGCATTCAAAGAAGCCTACGACCTGTTCTATGCCGCCATGCTTCAACATATGGTGGAGCAGAACATCGGTAATCGCGTGTAGGCAACAGTATTGGGCTCCGGTGGTGTCACGGCTTGCATTCCTAAGAGAAGCAGGATCGTGTAGTAGCGGCAGTATCCACCAAATCAATTTGCTTGGATACGTGCCGTTTACGCTACTGGCAGGAAGAGAAAACTTCAGGGAGCCTTTGGACCCTTGGGTGTAGGCCTACAGGGGAACCAGCCACTTAAAACAATGGGCAACGCGCCTATCCCGGTACCTCAAGAGTGGTGCGGAAAACCGTGAGAAGAATTTTATGGTATATGGAACTAACTAAGGTGAGTGGTAATATGTGATGTATTATAAATTTAAACAATTCTCCTTCTATTTGTCTTTGTGTCTGCATTATCAATTACTCGAGACGAAAAACTTTTATGTTCTTCCAATTGCTTCATCATCTCACTGTAAATACCAACGTGTTCTTGCGGAATGTTTCACTTGGGTTGAGCACAAACACTTAAAGGACTGCAGGCCGTATGAAAGTGGATAAAGATACACCTATCGTACAAGGGCATATTAAGTCGGTGCCCATGTATATAACACTCAAATATAGTTGAGATAAATCCATCTTCTATTATATCCATCAATTCATAGTCACTTTCTGAAACGATCTAAGCTTCTCTATCCGCCTTGCTTTGTTGTGGTGGAGATTTTGTACACTCTGTCTTTCGGTTCATTGAAAATGATTCGAGTCGGATCACTTTTTTTATTACTTCCCATGTACCTTCTTACTATGGAAAGCCGTTATATAAATAACTGTGGGATGGTGTAAAGTGTTTAATGGTCGACCGCGGCGTACCACAGTGTTTTTACATGTTTTTTCTTCAAAATATAGATTTGATAATTAATTGAAAACGCAAAGTTACGTATGGCACGTACGTATATCAAATATTGATTGATCTATTTAAAAAAAAAAACTGCTTACGGAATGCATACACGGCTAATAGATATGACTAAAGTCCTTTCTTCGAGTTGTTTAATAAAGTCGAGTGAACATCTTCAAGATAAATCTGACTGTCTTAGCAATGGAATTTTCGCAGTATTTCAGCCAATGTACAATACATTCAACCCTGTTTTTGTGAGATTTCTTTTATGCGATTTTTTTTGTGCGGTGTATGAAAATTTCAATCGAATTGGAAATTGGAAATAACTGACGAAGTTAACAATAAAAAAACAATTAGTAGGTTATATATGTATTTCATCACATTACAAAAGTACAATTACATTACATATGTATTAAAATCTCTAATTTAATTTAATTAATTCAATTGTTGAACGTAGAACGATTTCCAGTTTGAGTCTTCCTGAAACGGATTGCGTGTCTTGATAAGTCGCTGAGTTGACTTTTTTGCTAATGGGATAGTTGGTGTACCACGCTTTGTAATGTTTGTTTCGACAACTAAGTAGGAAAAGTTTACGATTGCAATCTTTTTTCTATGTTTTTTCTTCTATGCGTTCCCTATTCACTGCACGAAAACAGGTTTAAGTGGACACATACATCCCTTGATTCATAAGAAATATAGACACATTAAATGCTTTAAAAAAAAGAAATGGTTTATATTGCACTCGAAGAAATAAATATAAAATGTTTTCCGATGGAGGGAAAAGAAAAGCGTTCTGCATCTCGAAAACGATCAATAAATTACATATCAAATACTGTAATAAATAACGTAATAAGTAAATAAGGTAAAAATGAGGGTATAATACATGATAAAATTTGCAAAGTAAATATAAATCTTCTTAAAACAATTACAAATTAACTTCATTTAATTTTGTTAATTCTGTTAATCAATTTGTCGACTGCTTTATGAATGCGAAAAATAAGAAAATAGCCAATCACAATGGCTGGCATACTAACAAAGGTGGCGAGACTCTCATATATAAAGCGAGGAGCAAATATTTTCCAAACCATTAAATGCCGACAATGTATGGTACAAGCGAGCATCGAACAGAAAACCTAAACAATGTATGGAAATGTATTACAAAAGAAGCGAATATCATTTCTATGTTATATGTAAGGTACCTTAAAGCCTTGTAACATGAATAACTGTGTGGCCAATTTAAACATGGTGCCTAGAAAAACAGTTTCCTGCTCAAATAAGACCAATTCACCGCGACTCATATCGAATCCCACGCTCTCAATAGAAATGTCACTTAAAGATTGTTCAGCAATTAGTGTAGCCTGTTGCGCTAGGCGTGATGATACAATTTCCGATTTTCGTGTTTCTCGATTGCTATTGGATTTGATAAGACTCGGAAACAGAGCGAAAATCGAGAAAGTTTGCGTGGCCAACAAGCCGTACATGGAAAAGAATAATATCTGACCGCAAAATGTATTGATTATGACCAGAATACCGGAAATGAAATTTGATTGTCCAATGCTTGCAGTTCGCCCAACAAACGCGGAACGCCAATCGATTTGAGATAATGTCGTCTGATGGGAGGTAGCAAAAAAGCAAAAGTGTGCCAAGAGAAACCACGCAACAATCGCATTAAAATTGGGTTGAATGCATGTTTCTATTTAGGTAAAAAACATAAATATTTTATTCAAACATGTTTTACATGCATAATATAATACTTACCGAAACTTATGGCGGTCTTAAACCGTAAAATAGAATGTATGGATAGTAGGGCTGCAGCTACTGCAACGCAAGCAATAGCTCCCACTGATGAATATGGTTCAAGTAAAATGACGATAACCATGGTTAAGAAAATGCCAAACGATATCAGAATTGATGAATATACTGTAGCTAGTCCATAAACCACGGGTATGTCACTATGCCTTTCGACTTCGCCACCTTCGTACATGCGTTTCATTTTTTTGAAAATTTCAGGAACTATACTATTGGCAGTGTTTACGGCTATAGTTGAGCAATTCTTCGGTGGCAAAATAAATACCATAAGTGGAGCAATTGTTATCACAATAATTTGCAACGCTAGTAGAGCATAAATGATCAATGCCATAATATCGATATGCGAACGTTGAATATTTTTTATGGCACTGCCTGTCAAAAGCATATGACCGCCAGTGCAAATACTGGCAAGTGTTGGCCCGTAACGTGCCAGAAGGACATTAACCGAATTACCGGTTAAATTACCGCATAATCTTAAGTAGAGTCTAGTTAGAGTCGTATATAATACAACGACAATTACCGCAACTATTAACACTTTACTGCTGGAGGCTTTTTTAAATATGAAACCGTCATCATTACTAGAACTACTCGAGAAATCAATGCAATTCCCTTGTTCTTCTCGGCAGCGAAAAAGAGATGATGCGAAACGGATCAGCGTGACGGCCAGACAACTAGCTATTATTAGTTTCAGCGTCGTAGATTTAAGAAATACCGAAATTCGAAATTTATGCCTGAAATCAATTTGCGCACTTTTCTGCAGTAACTCATAAATCATTAGCAAGATAGTAGCCACAAGTAAGTAGGCCAAAATCTTAGCTTCATGTATTATAAAACTGTTAGAGAAAAAGACACCCAATGCTATTCCTAAAATAGCTCTTGTAGGCATATAAGCAAATTTCGTCATTCTCGACCAATTATGTGCAATCGCACTCCAATTCTGTACTGTATGAAATACAAACACTAACGTACTGATCAGGCTAGTGAAGAATATAATAGCATGTTCTTCGCTTTTGAAAGAAAAATTCTTGTGATAACGATATCCAAAAACACCGGCTGCGATATTTAACAGATACGTGTATCCAATTTCTTTGAATGTAAATATCTTATACAAATCGATAGATCGCGTGTTGTTGATAAATACAAAGGTAAAAAATATGGGCAGAAATGTAACGATCAGTCCTTGCGACATTTGTGTGGCATCAAATTTTACCCAAATTTCACGAGACGTACTCAATATTTGTCGCAAATGTTTGTTCAAATCGCCAACAAATGACTTAAATGCAGCGGTATTGTAAATTGTTTTAACACGATGCGTTAATAGTATAAACTCGGTCTCTAAATTTTCCATGTGCTCTACAGTGAAAGTACGTTTGTTTTCTAGGGCGTAATTATAAAAATATTTGTAAATTTGTTGGGCATTTTGCCAAACGTGTAACAATATTGTTTGCAGTTTACTTAAATGCGGTATTATTACGTTGGGTATAACATTAAAGTTAATCAAACCTAAATTTGAATATGGTATCGGAACACCGAGTATAGCGGCCAGTGTCGGCACGAAATCAATCTAAAGAAAAAAAATTTCTTATTAGTGAAGTTCTATAAACTACTACCTAATCTTTAGCATTTACTTGTTGCATTTCTTTAGCATCAGAGCCGAATTCGGAAGTAAGGAATTTACTGCGCTTAGTGTAAGCAAAAAGAAGAGCATTGGTTTCATCGTCCGTATCACCACCGTGATCACCCGTAGCTGTCATACCGTGGTCACCAATCACAAACAGAGTAGTTTGATTGTCCATCTGAGCGACAATATCCCTAAAATGTATAAATAATAAAATGGAATGCTAAAGCAAGGATAGTATGTTGCTTCAACAATTAACATATGCTCATAATTTATGAGTTTTGGAATCATACATGTGTGCATCTCAAAAACTTACCGTATTACATTATTCATTTCATTAAGTTTACGTCCCATTTCGTCGTGGAGAGGACCATGTTTATGCCCACAATGATCCACGCCTAGAAAGTGCGCAATTAGCACTTGCCAATCGTTCTGGATCATTTCTTTGGCTAAATGTTGCTGTACACCGCGATCTATTGTGTCTAAATCGAAAATATCAAAGCTAGGATAAGGATAAGAGCGTAAGAAACGTCGCGGATAGAGATCTGACCAAGTGCTGTCACCCATAAATACGATTGGTAAATTCATATTGTTTATTTGATCAATAATGTTGTCTTCATTTATTTCTGGTGAAGCAAAATTTGAACCAATATCGACGAACGTAGGTAAGCTCCCAGTAGTTAAGCCTTTCAAACGCTGCAAAGTTGTAGTAGGCGGATCGGCCTTAAAAACCATGAGGCGTGCATATTCAGGCATATCCTTTTCCAATTCATACATTACACTTAGTTTATTTTCGTAGGCAAGTGGCTTCGTAAGATTTTCTTTATAAACTCCAAACTCATATTTAAGTGCATCTACGAGAAGTATAATTACTTTAGACTTTTGCGGAAGGCATAAATGAGTTGTAGCATTAACATCCTTAAATATTTCTTGCACCACCGCGTCTGACAAATAATTTTTCTAAAAGACGTTATCAAGATAGCGGTGATTAATTACTGATCTCTACATTATTTCCAACAACTTACATCATTTAGATCTAATGATAATCGCCGACAGTTGCTTACATCGGTCTTGGAAACGCGGGATAACAGAAAACCGCGAGAGAATAATATCACTCCCGACGCAATCAAGTATGTTAACCAGATTAAAGTTAATCCATAACTTAGAGCATATTCCATATTGTTCCTTCAATTACCAGCAGCTTATCTACTATCACTATACTATTCTGGGCAATACTTTTGAATTGAAAGTAAATAATATTTGGCTAAAAAATAAAGCCATTAAAAGCAATCAAACATTCCACCAAGCACATGAATTATAAATGTATATATTTAAAATTTTTTCTCACTTTACCAATCACAATAAAAATTATGTTAATTTTCTACTCCCAGATATGTAAATATTGCGTCAGCTGATTGCTCCATTTTGAGCAACCGTGTTTTAATAAAAATGAGAAATATTTTAAATTTCATATTGAACTAATGGCAAACGTTTTCACAAACTTATTACCACATACAATGTATTTCAGAGTAAGTTTCTGAGCCGCTTTAGCCGCATCTGTAGTTTTTCACTAAAAAAAACGAAAATGCATAAACTGAAAAAAGAAACTGAAATTGGACTCATTTATTTTTATTATTATTATTATTTTAATTTTAGACTAATGAAATGAATTCTTAGACTAAAAAAGGACATTGAGCACTAGCAACACAGGCTATCGGCTCTAGATTTATTTTATTTTATTTGTTTTTTTAATCGAGGTCAAAGACTTAAGTTTCAAAATGACCGTTATAATTTTCCAGTCAATAATCATAAGGTAAAATGATTCCTCATCGGTTTGCGACACCTCATTTTGGGAATAACGAGCAAGTAAGGGAGCGTTTTGGCACCCACAATTTCAATTTAACAGGTAAAAGTCGTCGGGTATTTTCTGTTAATTGTGCATGTGCCACTTTGTCGATTCATTTTTTTTGGGTAGACTATGACTAAAACTATGAGTATCTCGGAAATTGATTCATTCCGATTTTGCGGGGAGTGAAGGAAACGCCCTATTATATTCAATGCGTATTCACGGTCATCGGCATAATCCGATATCTGGTTGTTGCCGAACATTTTATAAGCAGTTATCGAGATACATAAGGATCTTAAAGTTAGAGGGAGAATCTTAAAGCAATGGGTCAGTAGAATAGATCATATAGATAAGAGATTATGACACTTTCCGTGAGCGTTTCGATGATGACCTATGGAAAAATAAATGAACGAATAAACGCAAGTCACATTATTGGAATGAATTTCTTCTCAAATTTCGATGGCGTGTTTGAAAGGCATTATCAAAACAAAAGATGAAGTTAAGTATTCGTAGGAAGACTAATATAAAGATTTTTCTAAAACTTTGTAGCGAAAGCTATCAAAAGATTTGTTCAATAATATCACGACGAATCAAATGATAAAATCTTAATATAGGAGAGGAGATCGATAAATCTTTATGGTGACTTTCTTTTTTCTTAAATACTGAATAGGCTATAGGCGGGCTAAAAGACGGACGAACCACCAGAACATAATGCTGATCAATAATATAGAAATTTTATATAGTGCCAGCAGCTTCCGAAAGCCTCCTTCTGGAAATTGCATCTACTTTCGCGAAGTGAATATACTGCCATATTCTTCATTTCCGTATTTGATTTTTGTTTGATTATTTTTTAAATCTTCTACAATAGAAGAAGAAATTAAAAAAAAAAATGCTTACCTTTCGTAATGAAAAAATTGTATATAAATTATTTTATATATAAGTAATTTTTATTAAACTTATGCATCTAGGTAAATAATAATTATCATTTAAAACCGAAGACTATAAAAGGAAGGGCAATAATAATATTAAAAAAAAAAGAAGAAAACTCGAGCATAATATTACAAAAACACATAAATGGAGAGTAAGTGGGAATACATATATAATATTTACGTAAAGGTGTGTAGTATAAAAAATTAATTATTACGTGTTTATATATATGTATATATATATATAAAGTATATATATATAAAGTATATATATATATATATATATATAAATTGCATTTTTGCCTTTTGTTTTTGTTTCTTTTTTTTTTTTTTTTTTTTTTTTTTCTTGTTTTGAAATACAATACACTTAACAGTTAGTTAGCATAACGCCTTTTAAACGATACTTTTTGTTGTGTTTAATTATTATATTCTGACACTTGTGGAAAGGTAACGTCGCTGCATGATTTGCTATTCGAACAGCATTCTATTTCCCATGGAATTTCAAGCTGATTTATAATACCACTGCCTGCAGACCCATTTCTTTTTTTAGTAAAAAAACTCCCCTTTCCTTTTTTTTTTTTAAATGTGTCGTGGAAAAGCGCAAATCATTTCATGTCTTACAACTTTGTATTATATCAAAAATTTTTTTTAATATGTGTTTTAGGCCATTGGCCATTTTTTGATTTCATATTTGGCTTTCTGATGAAAGAATTTCTGTTACTGGAATTTAGTTCGTCCTTGTTTGTCTTTGCACCCGAGTTCGAAGCTGGGGTAGTTGTCGTCATAATTAAAGTGGGGGATAAATTTGTCGTTGTTGGTGTTTTTATTGTTGTTTTTATTATTTGGGTTCGCGTTCCGCAGTGTCGGTTGGGGTAAAGCATTTATCAGTAAGCCTGAGCTTCTTTATAATCGCTTTGATCTGATGTATAAAAGTCTTCTAATTTCCATTGCAAAGTCTCGAATGTAGGTCGTCTCATGGGATCTTTGTGCCAGCACTCTAGCATAATTTCATATAAGCGTTGATCGCAATTAGGCGGCTGTGGCATGCGATAACCGTGTTCAACTTGCGTTAATACTTCCGCGTTTGTCATTCCTATATGAAGAGTTATGATTTTGATGTTTTTCGTTTTTTGTTTTTGATATTCTTATTGATAAGACAACTTACCTGGGTATGGAATTCGTCCGTAGGTCACTAATTCAGTTAGTAAAATGCCAAAACTCCAAACATCGGACTTAATGGAGAATTTTGAATAATTGGCAGCTTCAGGGGCAGTCCATTTAATAGGGAAACGAGCACCAACCCGGGCCTCGTATTCATCCTCCTTAATAAGTCTAAAGTTCGAAAAGAAGATATAATATATATAGAGCTTGTTAGCCAATAGCTAATGATTTCCTCAAAGGACAAAGTTTGAAGAATAGTTGTCGCAATATTTTGAACATTAATATCATTGTCATATATATAAATATATATATATATATATATATATATACCTTGCCAAACCGAAATCAGCAATTTTAACAATATTGTTATCGCCAACGAGTACATTTCGTGCAGCCAAGTCCCTGTGTATGTAATTCTGCGATTCTAAATATGCCATGCCAGCAGCTATCTGAGCCGCCATATCAATTAACACAGGCATTTTGAGACTGCGTCCTTTACCTGCAATAGCTACAAGATATATTTAAACTGAAAAAATTATGCATGACGTGAATGACAAGATGAAATGAAATAAATAAAAATAATTATATTCGTCTTGTGACGAATCTTGCTTTACTGGCCCTCTCCACAATCTAACCCGCTCGATTTTCAATTTCAGGCGGATCGGTACGCCAATCGGGACGCTTTTTACAGTCAGTTTATTATGGTAAGCGAAACTATGGCAATCTTCGGAATAACCAAATTCTCACTTTTTCGTAGAGCTGCCTATAAACAGTAGCTGTTCAGTTATTCGGCAAAGAAGAACCTAAGGCTTACTAAGGATGGCAAAAGGGTTTTTTCTTGAAAGCCTAAAAGGGGAATGAGAAGACAGTTCTCATTACTTGCTTCTATCATTCGCTTTACTACCATGGAGACCATCAAACCTACCCAAGATTGGAAAGTGATCGAGGACTGGTATACACTTGGGTGTGTGCTGTGTGGTGACATTCTTTAAATAAGGCTTTTTTCTCGAGAAAGAATAGTGAGTAGAAATAGGCCTTCGGAATGATATGGCCAAAGGGAAGTATGGCTTCGACTCCATGCAATCTGATAACACCCAAAGACGTAACGTATAGCAAGGCGTAAGCCCAAAGGACGACAAGTCATGAAGTTGTGGGTGTCCACGAGAGCCAAGTAGCTCAAAGCAGGTTTGCCCTAGGTGTGATAATGCAATTGCCATCAGACTACCGGAATAAATGCTTTCTTGCCAAACTGCTGGGTATGGCCTTTCGCGGAAGGGGCGATTAACAATGAGGTGGTAGATAGTGCTTGACGTGCTTGGCTGGAGAAAATTGGCTTAAACCAGTTTTTTTGTTTGCGTCGATAACTGACGCCTTGTAGGAGCAGTACGACCCCTTTAAATGGGGACAAATTAGCTCAGGCTTACGTAGCCAGTTTTCTTTTTAAACCTCTTCTTTTATGATGCGATAATGAACGAAAAACAACACTTAAACGCATCGCGTATATAACAGCTGCACAGCACAGACGGTCGTGAAAGCATTGCAATGCATTTGGAACCTGGTTGTGGGCAAGCAATTTGAATTATTTGCAATTTTAAAGGTAGCGGGACGGCGGCTACCAATGCCTTTCTTAGACCACTGGTACCACTAGGTATCAGGACCAGGTTCGCTCTCCCACTTTGTATGTGGGTGTCACAGATTTAGAAAATGGTCCACAATATTAAAGTATTTCTTAGCGATCTATCTTCGTGTCTAATTGCCCCGATTCGTTCGAAAGCTTTCCACATTAAACAAAAACTTTTTTTATGCATTATTTCAGGTACCATCGGAATACAGCAACTTTCTAGTCTAATAATAAAGATACTACATATGTCCATATCTACCTAGCCTAGCAACGAAGAAAGTGGAAAATCGGCGAAGACCATGAAAACGTTTGTAGTAAAAATGAAAATATTTTAAAATGCATAAAAAACGAAAAAACAAAACAGTGTAAATGAAGAAGAAGGATCCTATTTAGAATATTATTGTCAGCCTATAGATGCGTTGAAAATAATCAAATTTTACTTTGAAGGGCTATCTACTTCTTCAGTGCTGTGTATTACCAGTACACCTGGATCATCATTTATGATTTTGTGATTATTTACCTAATTTCTAAAGTGATTTTCATTAAGATCTTTATAATATTGATCATACTTCCAAATAAATTATCATTGGATGAAGCTCTCATTTCTCATTAGAGCGCTCGAAGCCAAAGAAGAAACGCCTTTTCAATTCCGATACTATCAAAACTATTTTAAAATTGATAGTGGATCTAGATGGTAAACGTAATTTTCTTTGCATAGCGAATTTTCGTCTTCAACCATTTTAAAAGATTAGAATAGATATTTTCCTGT